ATGCTAAAGGAACTACTGGGCATATATAGCATATCCATAGCATATCCATAGCACATTCTACATATGTAGGAACCATATGGAGCCTACTATTGTACTTGAATTTTAACACCACCATGCAGGTGTCTGCTGGAAAATGATAGTTTAACAGGAACAACTAACTGTCACTATGCCTACAATGTAATTAAAGATGTGTTGCAATGTTCCTTAGTCAGACAATAACTATACTACTCTAGTTCTTACTTTGAAGATTGAAATTAAAATCCCAAAGAAAGAAGCAGAAAGAGAGGAACATTAGAGAGAGAAACAGAGGAGCCAATGACAAGGTGGCAAACAAGATCGAGAAGAAGTAGAATGAAATGATTGAGCTCTCACAGCCCCGCTCCTGTGCCAGGTAAGTCCATTACGGGCTCACCATAGCCCGTGCTACTTAAAACTTTTTGTTCCCAGTAGCTGAATCTTAAAAACAACAACAAATGATTTAGCTCTGAGTAATATCTGGCCCTCAATGGTACCGAGGTTGTCAATGAAGCGAGCGACTCTTCCTTCCCCTCCTCTTCCTCCTCCTCCAGATAAAAGGGATGGAAGTACAATTTTTTGTCATCTTGTTCTTCCTCCTCCTCCTTCTCCTTTCCCTCCTCCTCCTCCTTCTCCTACTCCAGGGCAACACGGTATTACCTCTAATACACTGGTTTTGAAGGCGAAATTGTTTTTAGTCAGAGGACGAGGGCTGTATCGGAGGTGGGCGGATGTACGCAGCTTAGGTTAATACTGGGGAAAGATACTCTTTTATATATATATATATATATATATATATATATATATATATATATATATATATATATATATATATATATATATATATATATATATATAAATATATATATATATAGTTCTAGAGAGGGTAGCTGGCGTTGCTCGGATGACGGAGGCTCCCCCCCCCCCCCATCTTCACTACACACACTGTAGCCATCACTACACACGATGACCCTCGACACTGTAACTATCTGCACTACACACGACCATCGCCTTCACTGTAACCATCCTCACGACCCCGGGGCTCCGAAGGCCACACCCCCCATCTACAACCATCAACATCACTACTACTTCTCTCTCTCTCTCTCTCTCTCTCTCTTGCAACACCCACACGCCCACGTGATACAGGCTAGCACATACGTTCATCTACCACACACACACACACACACACACACACACACACACACACACACACACACACACACACACACACACACTCACACACACACACACACTCTTCCATCAACTCTTCAGAGAAGAAAAAGGCCACAGCTTCAAAAAGAGACCAAACAAAAAAAAACACTGCATCAAAAGGCTCACACACACGCCCACTCCAGAGCGATGAAGCGACGATCATCACACTTCTCAGCAAACTTCATCATCATACCTTGTGACGATTTCGGGGCTCAACGCCCCCTGCGGCCCGGTTCTCTGATCCGGTCTCCTAACGCAAGCATTTTAAACCTTATCGCGATAATATAACATATCCTTGGTCAGGGACGCAGGTTCGAGCCCATTTTGATAGCCTCGATATTTTGGTATAGATAATCCACCTTCATGTAATTCCATTGTGTGATTTTTGTCGGTTTTACAGCATAAAACAAGAGATAAAATGCTCTTTTTCTGCCCAATTGTTGCGACATTTATATGTATCAGCTATTGTGATAAGTACTTATTATTCTCACAAGCATAGAACCTACTCATAAACAGAATAATTAGTCAGCCCACTACACACTAACGTGATGCATCAAATGAACAAATCCACAAGGGCCGTGACGAGGATGGACGCAGGTTCGAATCCTCGTCACGGCCCTTGTGGATTTGTTCAGTCAGCCCACTAATAACTAATTATCGGGTAATATTGCATTCACCTGGGCTCTAGGAGACTCGAACCCTGGAATATTGGTCATCCTGGAGTTCAAGTATCCATAAATCATCCTTAACAGCCAACGAGCATATGAGGCTTAGTAAGCAGGAGTCGCCATATATTTTATGAGTAATAATAGTAAATATATGTCACCGTAGCTCACCGTTGCCTCATCTCCAACACACACACACACACACACAGTGGCCTGGTAGCCTGTATAGGGGCCTGGTGGATAGCGCGCAGGACTCGTAATTCTGCGGCGCGGGTTCGATTCCCGCACCATTCAGAAACAAATGGGCAAAGTTTCTTTCACCCTGAATGACCCTGTTACCTAGCAGTAAATAGGTACCTGGGAGTTAGTCAGCTGTCACGGGCTGCTTTCTGGTGTGTGTGTGTGGTGTGGGAAAAAAGTAGTTTGTAAACACTTGATTGACAATTGAGAGGCGGGCCGAAAGAGCAAAGCTCAAACCCCGCAAAACACAACTAGGTGAACACACATACACACACACACACACACACACACACACCATTTGTCGGAAAATGACGCTAATCACGTTTCAATTAGCTGAGATTATAAGTGGTAATTATTTAACTCTCCATTAAAGATATCTTGACCCTTCCAAGTGCTATATAGTCGTAATGGCTTGGTGCTTTTCCCTGAAAATTCCTCCCTTCCCCTTCCCCCCCTTTCCTCTCCCCATTAGGGAATTCAGTGGGGTTTCAAAACTGTAGGTTGAAAAGACATGATTGTAGCTAGGATACGAGGACGGAGGGAAGGAAAAGTGCCCAGCCCCTTTAGACCATCGGGGGATCGAACGCCGATCGTGCAAGAAGCCAGAATAGACTATAACATGTCTGAGCATTAAACATCATTACAGACAGGCGAAATAAAGTTTATTATTCCTCATGCTTTGTGACCTGAGTTCAAGAGGCGGGTGATGTTATACACGCTTCGACGTTAAAAAAGAAACTCCAACATCTTCTATATTGCTAATTTTCTTAAGCCAGCCAATCACAGTGTCTATCTGCCCAAGCCAGCCAATCACAGTGTCTATCTCCCCAAGCCAGCCAATCACAGTGTCTATCTGCCCAAGCCAGCCAATCACAGTGTCTATCTCCCCAAGCCAGCCAATCACAGTGTCTATCTCCCCAAGCCAGCCAATCACAGTGTCTATCTGCCCAAGCCAGCCAATCACAGTGTCTATCTCCCCAAGCCAGCCAATCACAGTGTCTATCTCCCCAAGCCAGCCAATCACAGTGTCTATCTGCCCAAGCCAGCCAATCACAGTGTCTATCTCCCAAGCCAGCCAATCACAGTGTCTATCTCCCCAAGCCAGCCAATCACAGTGTCTATCTGCCCAAGCCAGCCAATCACAGTGTCTATCTCCCCAAGCCAGCCAATCACAGTGTCTATCTGCCCAAGCCAGCCAATCACAGTGTCTATCTGCCCAAGCCAGCCAATCACAGTGTCTATCTCCCCAAGCCAGCCAATCACAGTGTCTATCTCCCCAAGCCAGCCAATCACAGTGTCTATCTCCCCAAGCCAGCCAATCACAGTGTCTATCTGCCCAAGCCAGCCAATCACAGTGTCTATCTGCCCAAGCCAGCCAATCACAGTGTCTATCTGCCCAAGCCAGCCAATCACAGTGTCTATCTCCCCAAGCCAGCCAATCACAGTGTCTATCTCCCCAAGCCAGCCAATCACAGGAAAGCATAATGCTTCTCTATAGATCGGAACGTTAAATGGGAAAATGTACAAAATCGGACCAGACTCACCCTTAGACAAGCAATGTATTTCAGAAATTGGCTTAGACGTCGTGTAGTTGGCTGTGTCAGGGCTAATAATGGGTAAATAAGAATTGCTGTTGTTGTTGTTGTTAGTGGTGTTTGATTTGTTATTGTTGTTCTTGTTTGATTTGTTTGCTACCCTCCATACTCGTACGGGGATTGTGGAAGGGGGGTACAGGGACACGTAATGGTCGTGGAAGGGGGGTACAGGGACACGTAACGGTCGTGGAAGGGGGGTACAGGGACACGTAATGGTCGTGGAAGGGGGGTACAGGGACACGTAATGGTCGTGGAAGGGGGGTACAGGGACACGTAATGGTCGTGGAAGGGGGGTACAGGGACACGTAATGGTCGTGGAAGGGGGGTACAGGGACACGTAATGGTCGTGGAAGGGGGGTACAGGGACACGTAATGGTCGTGGAAGGGGGGTACAGGGACACGTAATGGTCGTGGAAGGGGGGTACAGGGACACGTAATGGTCGTGGAAGGGGGGTACAGGGACACGTAATGGTCGTGGAAGGGGGGTACAGGGACACGTAACGGTCGTGGAAGGGGGGTACAGGGACACGTAATGGTCGTGGAAGGGGGGTACAGGGACACGTAACGGTCGTGGAAGGGGGGTACAGGGACACGTAACGGTCGTGGAAGGGGGGTACAGGGACACGTAACGGTCGTGGAAGGGGGGTACAGGGACACGTAACGGTCGTGGAAGGGGGGTACAGGGACACGTAACGGTCGTGGAAGGGGGGTACAGGGACACGTAACGGTCGTGGAAGGGGGGTACAGGGACACGTAACGGTCGTGGAAGGGGGGTACAGGGACACGTAACGGTCGTGGAAGGGGGGTACAGGGACACGTAATGGTCATGGAAGGGAAGTACAGGGACACGTAACGGTCGTGGAAGGGGGGTACAGGGACACGTAATGCTCAAATTGCCCAAAACTATTTTGACTAAACAAGTGGCAATGCATTTTTGTTCACAGTTATCAAGATCTTCACAAGCAAGTTGTTTAAACACAGACAATATGCGCTATTACTGCCATGTGTAGTCGAGTACTGGCTCGTGTGGTGGCGTCTGTAGCGGGTCACATCACCATTGTAGGTACAGGACCTCAATGTTGTTTGAACTACTAAATGTTTCGTAAATAGATTGAATACTCATGCTTAACCCTTAAACAGCGCAAAACATATATGTACGTAAGGAGTAACTGTCACGGAATGGCGCATATTTAAAATATTTAAAATAGTCATGCACATACATAGAGCTCATATTTGCTGCCTCAGGCTACCAGTAACCAACTATAGAAGCTTGTAAATGTTCCGGAATTTAAAATTCCTCTTCCGGAATATGTCAGGGGCTTCAAATAGGGCAATTCTCTCGCCTATATATTCTGTAGGCTTGACACAAATTGTTCGTCTGTGACCCAGTTGATGTTGTGGACCGTGACGGCTTTCCGAGCAATGGTAAGGGCGATCCGCAACGGTTGTTGAGACTTGCGGTCCGCCCGCCAGCCAGACACGTCTTCGTGGTGTACCTGGGTGGAGGGGAGGCGCTCTCCAGGCATCTCCTGGTACTTCACCTTGATGCTGTCCGGGTCCTCCTTCACGCCTACGCTCATCCCACTCTCCCTGCTGACCATTTCAGCCGCCAGGCCCGTCCAGAACACATCCTCGTAGCTGAAGTACACCATCTCCTGCGCCGCCTCCAGTAGCAGAGGGACGACATCTGTTGGTGGAGTGAGGAATTAAAACAAAAAGGCAATAATATAAACTAGAAATAACATGATGATGGAAAATGTTGAGAGTTGGTAGATTCTCACCGAGGGTGATGACATAGGCTGGGCCCATGGCAAATGGCGGGAATTTGGTGAGTGGCATGTGGCGCCGGGTGACTACGTTGGAGAACTGTCTCAGTGCCTGACTCAGTGTCACATGGCTCCCTCTGAAAGGCACACAGCTGCTACACACCTGCCGGAGGAGTGCCAGATATGTAAAGTTGTTGACTGTTAAAATAAATGTTCTTGCTACTTGGCCTTATCAAACAATATTTTACAACCGACTGCAAGCATAATACTTGTTTTCGTGAGAAAAGAAGGATTTATAAAATGTGACAAATTATTGATAATATTTACATTCGTTTGATAAAAATTTACACTCATATTACGAGTGATTGTTGTAGATGGTAAGGATCTTAGATCTCAGCTGGAAGGTCTCGGTGACTGACAATTTCACTCACCTTGCCCAGGATGGTGAAGTTCCTAGGGGCGTCAAGCACCTTCAGGAACTTCTTGACATTCACATAAACATCATCGTCAACCTTGGCGACGTATGTGGTGTGGGGGCAGTTGGTGGCTGCCCACTGGAGCATGTGGGCTGTCTTGAGGGTCAGTTGTGTGTATGACTCGGGGCTGCCCACCACAACCAGGTCCTGGAACCTGGCATTCTCCGTCTCTATCGACCGCATTGCTAACTTTCCCTCCGGCATGGAAATAAGGAAGCCGTATGGAATTTTGCGTTTCATAAATTGTTTTAAGTAAGTTTCCCTTATCACTTGACGAGTATTTGTGTTATTAACTCGCGAATTTATGAACACAAAAATCTTGGAGTTTCCCTTACATATTTTAGAGTTCTCGATAACGTACCGGGGCTTGTATATGTCAGAAAATAATACGTGTTTGACGTAATTGTTGTACTTCTTGTAATTATCTGCATGCCAGTCATAGTCCAAGCTCCCTTCCTCATCTTCGGAAGAATCGTCATAATAGGCGACCTCGTCCCCTTCAACCAACGATGCATCATTATCATCGCCCCTATTTTCAATTTTCAGGCGCTCTGTATCAATTTCGTTGAATGATTTCGTGGCTTCCTTCTCTAAAATCCCGGAGCTTGACATGGAATCATATTGGAGGTTTTCGTCGTGGACGTAATCGGGTTCCTGTGCCAGCCTCCTGGGTTGTGGTGGGGTGGAGGGTGGAGGTTCTTGATTGGGGGTGTTGAGCCCCGTGCCCAGTGGGAAGTGGGGGCCCGTGGTCCTTGGAGAGAGGGGCCCCGTGCCTCTGGCTCCCCGGGCCCCCAGCTGCCTACCACCCAGGCCACTGCGTTCGTGGTTGCTGGCATCTATAAATAATAAATTATGACATAATAACATCGCCATTACGAAAGAATTGACAGTTATGTACGCGATAGAATTGACAGTTATGCACTAATAAATTGAAGCTGATGATCGCGATTGTTCCAATTCTCGACCAGCTTTTGTTTACATGTAAGGTTTAATATTGAATCGTACACGCTTTGTAACAAATCAATTGTGTAACCATGTAACTTGTACAATGTAAATTGTAATAATAAAGAGGGTGGGGGTGATAGGAGAAGCAAATGCTCACACGAATTCAGAGTCAAGATTTTCTCTGTATGCTCTGTATTTTCTTCTCTGAGGCTGCAGGACCCTCATAATTGTCCCAGAGGCGTTATGTACCCCTGTGAAAGGTATATAGATTAAATGAACACATCCACAAGGGCCGTGACGAGGATTCGAACCTCGTCACGGACCTTGCAACTTCTGGTTACAATTCTTTTGACCATGTCGTAGTACAGTCGATTAAGGCAGCGTCTGGGATGCTGTCGGACGTAGATTCGAACCCTCATCACGGCCCTTGTGGATTTGTTCATTTGATGCATCACACTATCGTGATTTCTGTGTGTAATCCTCTGTAGCTCTTATAGTCTGTCAAGTTAAGCACCACTGAGTCTCACCAACAACACGGATGGGTGAGCACTGTGTCGCAGCCTCGTCAGAGAACCTAGACAATTCCTGGGACTAATGCATTGAGTAATACCGTAGCCAAGATCAATATTACTTGCCAATATACCACTTGATTGAGCTATAGTCGAATCTTTCACGAGACAATTCGACAGTGTATTAGCTTAGGCTCTGTTAGGATAGGTAAGATTAGGCTCGTTTGGTTTGGATTAGGCTAGGCGAGATTAGGATAGATTAGGTAGGTTTTAAAATCCTCTGGACCGGCCTATGCACTATGGGATTTGTTCCACATGTTAACGACACAGCAATTAATAAACAAAAATAATAATAATATCGTCTTATCATTGAATACTCAAGAGTTTCTAGAGATCACTCAGTATGACAACATGTGATAAGAAAGGCATAAAATGTAATTATCAAAGAATGCTTCTGAAATGTAAAAGGCTGAGCCTGAAGATCATGGGGGCCCCCAGTTACTGAACCAACAATATGACTGTACAGCCGCCACCCATACGAATGGTCCGGTGTCATGATAAAGTAATTAGAAGGCTGGATACGGGGGCCATGATAAAGTATTTAGAAGGCTGGGTACGGGGGCCATGATAAAGTATTTAGAAGGCTGGGTACGGGGACCATGACAATGTAATTAGAAGGCTGGGTACGGGGGCCATGATAAAGTATTTAGAAGGCTGGGTACGGGGACCATGACAATGTAATTAGAAGGCTGGGTACGGGGGCCATGATAAAGTATTTAGAAGGCTGGGTACGGGGGCCATGATAAAGTATTTAGAAGGCTGGGTACGGGGGCCATGATAAAGTATTTAGAAGGCTTGGTACGGGGGCCATGATAAAGTAATTAGAAGGCTGGGTACGGGGGCCATGACAATGTAATTAGAAGGCTGGGTACGGGGGCCATGACCATGGGTACGGGGGCCATGACAATGTAATTAGAAGGCTGGGTACGGGGGCCATGATAAAGTATTTAGAAGGCTGGGTACGGGGGCCATGATAAAGTATTTAGAAGGCTGGGTACGGGGGCCATGATAAAGTAATTAGAAGGCTGGGTACGGGGGCCATGATAAAGTAATTAGAAGGCTGGGTACGGGGGCCATGACAATGTAATTAGAAGGCTGGGTACGGGGGCCATGATAAAGTAATTAGAAGGCTGGATACGGGGGCCATGACACTGTAATTAGAAGGCTGGGTACGGGGGCCATGACAATGTAATTAGAAAGCTGGGTACGGACGCCATGATAAAGTAATTAAGGCTTACCCATGACGAGGAGAGAGAGGAGGACGCAGTACAAAACCAGGACCGTCAACACCAGCCCCGTCTGCCACATTCTCCACCGCGTCCACAACTGTTGAAAACATACACATATGACGCAAGGGACAATGCAACGCATGCATGTGTGTCACACAGGGAATAATACGATGTAGACATGACACAAGGGACAATGGGACGTACACATATATGACACAGTAGGAGTGTGTAGATACTATCCGTCATATAACTTAATATATAGGCCATATATATATATAATGTGTGTGTGGAAGTAAATAAATGTACATTTTGTATCAGTTAATATAAATCACATGTTTCTGTCACAACTATAAAACTGGAAATGACTCTGATATACCAATACTAATTTTAATACAATTCTGCCATAGCATTACTCTACAATATATCATTAGAACTCCGAGCCTTCCGTTATATCATTAAGAAACCTATAGTAGGCCCAGTCCAAAGAAGTACAGATCACATTGACATTAACAACAATATAGGCTTATACCAAACCTACTCACATTATCCCAAATATAAGATACATTTATTTTTAGCTTTTCTCCTTTCTTTCTAAACATTTAACATTTAGCTCTAAATTTAGCTTAGCTCTAAACATTTAAAGCTAAATAGTTAGCTCTCGTAGAACGCCCTAAAATGCACCAATGGGGCTGTAATGAGTAAGCTTGACTTGATTCACTCACCTTTTGACACAAATGAGTGCCCCAATAGGACTATTTGTTGACCTTCGAAAGGTCTTTGACAAGGTTAACACAATGACGTTGACCAGACCACACACTAGAAGGTGAAGGGACGACGACGTTTCGTTAACACAATGCCCTCAAATTTCAGGTACATTTTAAAGTCACATTGAAAAAGATCATCAAGGCAAATGGGGAAGAGGGGGATCTTCGACAAGCCGCCGGTTTCCTGTCCTGGTTGAGGCCACTAGTGTTAGTGGCTTTTAAGTAAATTCGAGTAAATTCAAGTAAAATGATTTATTATGGCGCCACGGGTCACTTTCTTCAATACACTCTTTCTTACATCAATGAGTAAGATACCTTACACCAGTAGGTATCTATGAACGACGCTTCGGCTCCGACCCAACCACTTGGGCTGGACGGTAGAGCCACGGTGTCGCTTCATGCAGGTCGGTGTTCAATCCCTGACCGTCCAAGTGGTTGGGTACCATTCCTTTCTCCCCTGACCCATCCCAAATCCTTATCCTGATCCCTTCTCAGTTCTATCTAGTCATAATGGCTGGGCGCTTTCCTTTCATAATTCCCCTTCTTTTCCTCCCACACTACTAATTAATACTGACGTTCCACAGGCAATTATACTTGCTCCACTCCGCCTTCTCATATAAAAACATACTACATATTATTGTCAAATAAATCTGCTACTCAAATAGATTTAAACAAAGAAATAAACAATTCCAAAATTGAGACAGAACAAAAATGAAATTCCACGTCATACAGACAGACAACAAATTGTACTTCAATGATTTGATGTTCCATAAAGATGAAATGGCGTTTTTCTAGTCATTTCTCTTCATGTCTTTAACCTTTAGGGTATGTTGATCATTTGATTAAATTGGAATGCGTCATTCCTGCAGATATTATTGTTCCATATATTTGCTTGACATTTGCTTAGCCTAACTACGTGTTCGACTGAGTAGGCTGCCAGTCCCCGACAAAACAAATTAAGTTGCAAATTTATTAATTACAAATCTTCCCGGTTATCTCAATCTTATGATGAAATAAAATAAATAATAAATGCAAAAATTAATTCACCTATAAAAATTTGTATGAATAATACTAACTGATATTATGGCAAAAATATAAAACGGTGAAACAGCGACGAAAGTAGGCCTACATTATTGGCAACCATTTGGGATGAATCTGCCTTACTCCGACTTCGGCTAGGCCTACCTAACAGCTTCGCTTCTGCAGCTCTTGATCGCTAAAACACGGATAGTATTGTCTGCAGCCGTCACCGCTAAGGTCACCACGTTACTGGGGTCAGAGATCTGAGCGCCGTCAGTGTCGCAATAATCATCCAGGTTTTCCTGCAGCGGTCCCAGGTTTCTGGACGAGACTTTCCTGCTGCTTCTGGTGTCTGGTGGTTCTTGTCCCAGCTGTTGGTGGTGGTTCTCGTCCAACTGGAGGTGTTTGGTGGTGCTCGTTCAACTGGGAGTGTGGTGGTTCTCGTTACAACCAATGTAGTGGCCCTATACAAAATTGGAAACGGGTAGAGAGCATTAAACTACAGGCCTGGGCCTTTTACTTGCCCGTCATGCAAGGTGGTGGAAAAGATCGTAAGAGTTTAGTAGAACATTTGTAGAGAAGGGCCTTGACGACACAACACCAGCATTGGTTAACGGAAGGTAAATCCTGCCTAACATACTTGAGTGAGTTCTGTGAACGGGGGAAGGAGGGAGACTGAGCTCAGATGAGATAGAAAAGTCTGGGTGAATTGTACGTTTTAGGACTGTCAGAAACCTTTAGACACAATACACTATAGGATACTTTTATACAAAATGGAGAAACAGACAAAATTTACAGTGAATATGCTCCAGTGGGTAATGAGTACCTCTACAACAGAAGTCAGAAGATCATATTGAGTAGCGAGATGTTAAAAGTTTCACAAGTGACAAGCCTATCCTATTTTTGCACTCAGATTTGGCCATTTCAAAATTGTTAGCTGAGGCATCTCTGCAAGTTACTAGGTGCGACATATATAACATACAGCATGAAACATGTTCAGACATTCTACTTTAGTCTATTATAAATCTGAGCCATTTTCTATGAAAGTCTCGATCATAATACATATTTATCCGCTGGTATCGCCGAGCAGTTGTTGACATCCGCAGCTGGAGGCTGGTCTTTTGGGGTCTGCTGTGGTCTGGTCTGGTCTGCACGGATAATAATCAAGAGGTCTTGCTGGGTTGTTCAGTTGGAGGAAATATTAATCTTGTTGTTATGGCGCCCATATCCGAAGAAGCCTTTATTGAAAAGCTTCGATTTGAGTAAGTTCATTGGTGTGAGATACGTCGTGGATGTTTATATCAATCTGGTCATTTGTTCTATTTATAGATTAGAAAATATTTGACAAACGAAAATATGTAAAGATTGTTTAGTAGTTTGCATGATGTGTAGATTATTCTTAGGACCAAACGTATGCTGTTTGAGTTACATGTTCATGAGGTCTAAATTGCTCTATTTAGAATTTTAGATATTGGATTTCGTAACTTTTATAACACTGTAAATTGCTTTTGTTTTTTAAAAATAAATAAAAAACTCAATAATGAATGCTATTTAATATTCATTATACTGTACTGCTAACGAGGCGGCAGCCTGATTCTACGCTTAAATTAGTTAAGCTTAGGTCGTTAAGTTAGTTATTATTATTTATTATTATTATTATTATTAAGTGCTTTGGCCTTCTATGATGGTTTTGGTTTGTATTGTTGCAGCCAGAAAGTCTATTTGGCTTATCAACGTCCTCATTGCCAATGATTGGCCATTCCACAGGATGCAATCCACAGCAATTGACTAATCTCCAAGTAACTATTGACTGCTAAGGTCATAGAGGTATTGGGTGTACACAAAGTACCCATAAGTCTTGCCCTGCCCAGGATTACTTGGCTCTGAGCTAATTGTACTAATCATTAAGCTACAGGAAACAAAATTCTATATAATTTGGGATAACCTTACCAGATAGAAGTTACTTTTTTCCCAAAACAGTTTACTAACAGATTTTACAACCTACCTAACCTTTCCCAACCTAACGCAAGGTAATACAATTTAATGATATAAAGGGTTTTGACAATAAGAAAAGTTTTGTCAAAATGCCTGTGTACAGTTTATATTCATTCCAAAGATTATCCAAGTTTCGCCTGGCTTGGGGAGTAGAACTTCCAGAACCCCATCCAGGTACAATCAGGTACACGCACTAATAGTGGAAAATTCTTAAAATAAAAGAATAACACGTTTAATATGAGATGCAGTAGCTGAGGGCCTATGAAGTGTTTATAATAGTACCTTGGTAATGATAAGCATTCCCCGTAAATAATTCCATTAGTGTTTTTTTTTTTTTGATTTTTGACAAAGAAAATATGAAGCCAAATGTCTTCCTTCTTTGATCATGTTAAGAAAGCATTTTAGCCTCATCAGGCCTTAGCTAACCCTAACCTTACCTAACCTAATAAAATCTAATCCAACATAATAATGTGCATTAACTAAAAAAAAAAAATGGCACTGACCAAAGTATTTTGTGATAAGGCAACAGTTTGGTCTCCATGAAGAAGTAACGTAATTTTGTATTCCTCTTCTCGTGTAGGCATTGTCAAGTCATAAATTATAATGTTATTTGTACATGTATTTCATTTTGGGGAATCGGACAATTATATTGGTGATCGACTTGAGAACGGTCCAGGATGGACCAAAACGTTGTCGTCCCTTCACTTTCTAGTGTGTGGTCTGGTCAACAATTATATTGGTGAATTTATTTACACAACAAATAATTACATTGGGCTGTGTGGGTTTCAGGATATATTATCTCATTTCCATCTTATTCCTAACTTAAGGTAGTTAGTTTATCTATGGATAGTTTATCATAAATATACCATATTAGCCTAACTGAAATTTACCTAGAATAACGGGAACAGAAAATATAGAAAACTGTGGCTCTCTGAAAGAGGCAAATGAGGTAAAAAAGTGAATCCTTATTAAAACTAGCTCTGAGCATCAGGGGGCAGGGAGGTAAAACCCTATCCATACCCAGATCACCATGGAGACAGTTTCTAGTGATTGTGGCAATCACTAGAATCGGCAATGGGGAGCCAGTCGGCCGAACGGACAGCACGCTGGACTTGTGATCCTGTGGTCCTGGGTTCGATCCCAGGCGCTGGCGAGAAACAATGGGCAGAGTTTCTTTCACCCTATGCCCCTGTTACCTAGCAGTAAAATAGGGACCTGGGTGTTAGTCAGCTGTCACGGGCTGCTTCCTGGGGGTGGAGGCCTGGTCGACCACCGGGCCGCGGGAACACTAAAAAGCCCCGAAATCATCTCAAGATAACCTCAAGATCACATTGAAAAACATTAGGTATTAAATATAATCAGAAAAGATGAAAGTGAGCTGTAATTTACAGTGGCCAATCACCCTGTAAAAGATGGGTTTACTATCCTTAGGTAAGGTAAAGATTTCATGATTGATTAATGATTGGGATTTTCATTATCATCATCTACAGTAATCGACCATTTTGTGCCCATTTCAAATGGTAGTACCTCGGCAAGATTCATATTTCATTCAAATAGAGCTCGTCAGCTTTTTCCAATTTCCATGCATAATCGTCATTGTGAATCCCATAATCTTTTGGCATGGGAAAGTTTTATCACTTCTTGCTTTATAAATTATCTTAACACTTTCGCGCTATCTGGACGCGCCGGCGCGTCCCGTTTCGTCTAACGCTAACGCATAGTGGACATAAAGTTGAGTCCTCTTTTAAAATATTTGTATAAAATTCAATTTTTATCCGATTTACTTTGGGTTTGTTTCAAACTGCGCGCTATGAGGCTCTCTTTCTCACCACTAGGCTGCATGGTACAATAATTTCATGAAAGGTGTGGATAACTTCGATCAAATGGTATTTTGTCCCAAACGGGTTGCAGGTGGGTGACTTTAGCCGTTTATACTGGAAATGCTTCCCCCATATCATGTATTATATGCATATGTCTGTTTAGGGAATTTTATTCCGATCAATATACAACCAAAAATAACTGTGTGCAACAAGTATAAACTTGACAAACATAACAAAAGTAAAAACATTTCGTGTGTGTTTGACGCTCACTGATATGTTCCAGCGTTGTTTTATATTTGGCGCTATTCTAACTTACGCTTTGTTGATATTTTTTACCTATGGGCACATAGAACATTCTATTGCGAACACATTGACACAAAAATGAATGACGTACATAGAAAATTAATGTCATGAGAGTGAAATAAGTATAAACTTTCAAAGCGCCGTGCGTCGTCCCGTCACCGATACCGGGTAACAATTTCACCACTTCCCACACTCTTGCGGGCGGGCCGCATCATTATTCTACGCTTATATTCATATCACCGTGTTGGGAATTTCATTGCGAGTCCATTGATACCAAAATTAACGCTGTAGAATAAGTGTGGAGGTGATTACAATCCCAAGAGTAAAAACATTTTGTTGCTGATGGGCGCTCACGGCGAGTCATCTTCGTAGTTATTTATTTGGTGCTGGTATCCCTATACGTTTCGTGACTTTTTTTACTGATGTTCTTCTAGAGAATTTTATTGCGAACACGTTGGTACCAAAATGAAATACGTAGCATGAGAACTAAGGTCAGAAGAGTAAAAAGAGTATACACATTTTTGTTTTTACGCTTAAGCGATAAAAACGCCGCGCGCACATTCGGTTGGCTGAGTGACCTTCGTGGAAAGTGCGAAAGTGTTAAGTGGTCTTTCCACATGAAAATTCTGGGACAGAAGTTGGGTTGCATTTTAAAGGTTTGTTCAACTCATTTTGTTCATGCTAACTGTGAATTTAAGAACAAAGTAACCTCTAACACACACTTCCTTTTGCAGGAAATTTGAATCTGAACAAGCCAAGGCAGAAGAGAGTCTTGTACTACTAGAACATGTTGTAGCTAATTCGGAATGGCAAACAGGAAGGTAAGTGGTGAAAGCTCTAGCTTATTTCTCACATTTCCAGCCTTAAAACTCATTTTTAAAAGATAGCAGGGCCATATGCCATATGTGATTCAACAAAAAATATAAATAAAAAATGCAAATAATAGCAAACCATAGAATTTGGTTTTAAATATCTTTAATAGGTTTCCCAAGACTCCAACTATTTTTTTTAGAATGTTGAATACATCTACAATAATCATCAAAATCATGATTGGAGCCATGTTAATAGTTAATATTAAAACAGTCTCCGTGGTGTAGTGGTAAGACACTCGCCTGGCGTTCCGCGAGCGCTATGTCATGGGTTCGTATCCTGGCCGGGGAGGATTTACTGGGCGCAATTCCTTAACTGTAGCCTCTGTTTAACGCAACAGTAAAATGTGTACTTGGATGAAAAAACGATTCTTCGCGGCAGGGGATCGTATTCCAGGGACCTGCCCGAAACGCTACGCGTACTAGTGGCTGTACAAGAATGTAACAACTCTTGTATATATCTCAAAAAAAAAAAAAAAAAAAAAAAAAAAGTTACCATTCAAGCCCTAATGTTTCCGACATTTCATAACATCAAAATACGTGACCATTATTTTCAAGTTTTATTTTAGAAGCACATACATGAAAATATTATATTTGTTGAATTAGCTATTGAGTAAGCTAAGAGATGCACTTTGCAATGGCTCAGATGTGGAGGGGATGGTGATTGATAGTTTTACAAGAATATACAACAGGGAACTACCAAGAGTAGAATAAATGGCAGGAAACATGCATCACGGAGAGCGATGGCGTAGTTGCTGCATATGAGCTTCCACTAGACATAGTTCTCTTATACATTGGACTTGGTTCATATTCATTATGTTTAATAACAGTTTCCAATTTTATCAACGTGTATTATTTCAATTCCCTCCTAGTGAGCTGTTGGACTTGCTTCGCAATGTTGTCACTGCTGTGCGAGTAAAAATGCCTTGGGAAACTACTCCTTGCAACATGGTTCAGCGTGTCATTAAAGTAAGTTTAATACTCTGTTTACAGTGATGTTTATTACCTGTATGTACTTGTGTATTGGCATGTGGTGAAATCCTAGCTACTGCATAATAGCTCTTGATTATATAAGGGGGGTGGACATATGCTATACCATACCAATTTCTCTATTTCTGGAGTTGGGGGATTTCTGCTCCTTTTTACTCATCCTTTGGTAGTCTAGCTCGAATGAATACCAAGTAGGTTTTACAATGTCTTTGACCCCTTGCAGACAGATTTTTTGGGGGGAAGGGTTCCGTTCGCATCCTTTGGTAGTCTAGCTCGAATGAATACCAAGTAGGTTTTACAATGTCTTTGACCCCTTGCAGACAGATTTTTTGGGGGGAAGGGTTCCTATGGTGGCTCCCTGTTGCAAGCTACCTGGATAGCTCCACCAAATTCAAGCCTTACAAGAATGTAAAAACTCTTGTATATATATAAATAAAATAAAAAAATGTGAAAAACAAATATGTATGACAGAATTGAAGATGACATACAATGATTTTCTAATTGTAGTATTTATATAATTATTCAAATATCTAACATTTCTCATAACAGCATTTATAGTGGTACAACAATTGACTCTCATGCTATGGCATTCTGTTGCCAAATATAAATACTGTATGCACCAAAAGGGTTTAAGTATTGTTAGATACATTAAGTCTCGAGGTTCAAATAATTGTTGGATATAAGCTGAAATAATATTTTATTAAGTATTAAGTATTGTTAGATACATTAAGTCTCGAGGTTCAAATAATTGTTGGATATAAGCTGAAATAATATTTTATTAAGTATTAAGTATTGTTAGATACATTAAGTCTCGAGGTTCAAATAATTGTTGGATATAAGCTGAAATAATATTTTATTAGTGGACACTAGCAGCCTTCTGACATGTTTGTCGGGAAGGTTTTGCCATATAATATAGCAGTATTGATGAGTAATTTTTCCAATGTAGGATAATGCTAATACACAAGTTATTGATGTTTTTGACTGCAAAATGATAACATTTCTATTAAAATTGAAGCAAAAATTAGCCAGGACACTTTACATCATCCAGTGTATTATAATACCAACATTTTCTACACAGCACTGTACTAGTACATCAGTCATTAAAGAAGGCATATAATATTGAAAAGATTTACTTGTGTATTTGAAAGACTTAAATTTTCTTCTGCCTACTTTGCCATCTTTAATACTGTAATGTCACCATAAATTATATATATTATGTTACACCTAATCCGCAAGATAGGACACTGTTCAAATTGTAAGCCGTTAAGGGAATCTTATTTTTCTTCCCTTAAACTGTTTCATACAAGAGAGAACACTAAAGAATTACTTATACTAAAATTTGTATTACAGTATTAAATTTGCTATTTTTTTCATTCTTTTTAATTAATGTTTCATGGATAAGTGATAATATATCTTTTAGTATCATTATTGTGAGTTTCATGCACAAAAAAAGAATAAATTATCATTTAGTATCTAATTGTAGATCAGTAAATTATCAATTATTTCCTCCTAGATAGTGATTGATGAGTACAACGCTTGTCGAGAAGTCAGCGAAGGAGGAGGGTATCAGAGCCTCAAACAGATGATGTTCGTTGACCCAGCCAGTGGAGATCTTCCCGAGTGCACTGAAACCATACCGGAACTCAGAAACAGAATTCTCGAAGTTCTCGCCGAGCACAAAGCAGAAATTGAACAGAGGTATAATATGTGTTACCGATAAATCTGTTGATGATAACCTATCTGTAATACAGTATTTGTTTATACCACGTTAGTGACTCTCGGGACCACTTGCAATGCAATCTTTATAAAGCTCTTCCACCGTATCTTTCTGCTGCTCACGCATGAAGATTTTTTTCTACCCATTTCTGTATCAATGTTTTAGGCTCTTTTTCTTAATTCTTTTGTGAATAGTTATTTTCTGCATTATTCACATGTGTTGATTATTATCCTTTCATTCCTTTTCACTCAATATTCTGATGACACATTCAGCTAAATTATTTGCATATCTAATTTGCTCTTTTCATGTGTTCTGTCTGGAAATTACTCAACTCGGTATATAACAATAATAATGTCCAGGCCAATTATTGTTCACTTAATTTTTGGTCACAGACTGGTCTCATCGTTTGTATTATAAAATGGAGATAATTTTTGTTTTTGTTTTTTCCATTTTGACTTTCAGTGTGGGTAGGGCAGGGAAATGGTGTTGTAGTCAATGGGTGAAGAAAGTAGTGTGTCATGCATTTTAATACCTTTCTGAAGAGTTAAGTTTTGTGTGGATTTGTTCTCTGTATGTATGGTATACAGTAAACACAAATTTGATTAAAATACATGAAGAAAGTAATTTAGCTTTAATTTGCAGCCAGGAATTAATTGCAGTCCAGGGAGAGAGCAAGATCCATAATGACGAAGTGATTATGACGTGCGGCATGTGTCCAATGGTTCTGGCTTTCCTCACTAAAGCTGCTAAACGAAGAAAATTCCATGTTATCGTCGCTGAATGTGCTCCAAAGTACGATGTGAGTTGAGCAAGTCCTTATCACTAAATTATAGTTATTGTATACTATTATTATTATTACTTAAATTTTATTCTGTTTATTGTTTACTGTATTGTATAAGTCTTTAAATGCTCGTAATGTTTAAGTCATTTGAGGTAGCGTTGGGTGGTCCTCTCCAGGCATCGTATATTGCTGGTACTTCAGCGTGGTTACATGGGAAGAATTAAGTTTTAGATGTTAGCTTTTTCAATGCCATCTCCCAGTTATGTCAAGAAAAATGTATGTTTATTACGTCAAACAAATTACTTAAGTTTTGTTTTTTTACTGCTTGCCAACACTACTCTTGCAGAAGAAGAATCATCCTATGAGAATTTAACTTAGAATCATTTGGTTGTTAGCTGACTACTCTTATTACACTAGTGGTCATGTTTTGCCTTATGTTCCTCACATTTTGCAAGTGTTCAACTCCAGTTTGTTCCTTCATTACAACAGAGAGAGAAGACAGACAGACAGACAGACAGACAGACAGACAGACAGACAGACAGACAGACAGACAGACAGACAGACAGACAGAGAGAGGGAGAAGACAGACAGTGACAGAGAGAGAGAGAAGACAGACAGTGACAGAGAGAAAAGACAGTCAGACTTACTGACTGACTGAAAATTTCTTGAATACAATGTACAAGATCCCTTCTTTTACTTGGCATTACTGTTGTGATATGCATGGTCACCTTGCTATTCATAATGTATAATACATGATTGTACAAAGTAGCATTAACTTCTATTCTCCATTTTAGGGTCATCAAATGGCAAAATCTTTGTGTTCCGCTAATATTCAGACAACCTTGATACAAGATTGTGCAGTGTTTCCCATGATGTCTCGTGTTAATAAGGTTATCATTGGTACTCAAACTGTCTTGAGTAATGGTGGCATCAAGACTTTTGTTGGTGCCGCCCCTTTGGCCTCGGCAGCAAAGTTTTACTCAGTTCCAGTAAGTAATATAATTTTGTCTCTTTTATTATTGGAAGGGAAGGGAACTATCTGGAGAAAGTGCCAAGCCATTACGATTGTAGAGCACTTGGAAGGGATCAGGATAAGGATTTGGGATGGGATGGGTGAAAGGAATGGTGCCCGACCACTTGGACGATCGGGGATTGAACGGCGACCTGCATGAAGCGAGACCATCATTCTACCGTCTAGCACAAGTGTTTTTTTTTTATTATTATTATTATAATTGGAGATAATGTATAAATACCTATCCATAGTACTGTATTTATAATATATGTATCTATATGGCAGTGTCCAACTTGTATGAGATGGGGAGGAAACAGCCTGGAGGAAAAATGAAGAAAAAGAATAGTGTATGGTGAATACAAATGTTGATAAGAAAAAGTAATATATGGCTATTGGTGCCCTTAGTGGAAAGAAATTATGATAAGATGGATTCCCAGCCAATCTTAAACCCCCTCAACTCCCTGTTATGAGTGTTATTTTTAAGGTTTATACAAATATTAAGTCCTGATTTTGAGGGTCATGCTATATTATATTTGGGATACAAGTCACATTGTACACAAGACGATTCGCCAATGGATTTGGAAACCTACCTAGCTCAACCTAACCTAATACAACCCAACCCAACCTAATCCAACCTAACCCAACCTAACCTAACCAAACCTAACCAAACCCAACCTAACCCAACCCAACTTAACCCAACCCAACTTAACCTAACCCAACCCAACCTAACTGAGCAAAATAAAGTCTAACCTTAGGTAATACATCCTAGCATAGCAACATACACAGTTTTAATAAACGTAAAATGAGCTTCGTCGAATCGTCTCGGGTCTGAAACGACCATACAGCTTATTTATTTATTTATATACAGTATATATACAAGAGTTCTTACATTCTTGTACAGCCACTAGCATGCATAGCATTTTAGGCATGTCCTTAATCCTAATTTTCACACACACATCCCCAGGAAGCATCCCGTAGCAGCTGTCTAACTCACAGGTACATATTTACTGCTAGACAACATGGGTATCAGGGTGAAAGAAACTGCCCATTTGTTTCCGCCTTCTGCCAGGGATCGAACCCAGAACCTTAAGATTACGAACCCCGAGCACTTTCCACTCAGCCGTCAGGCCCCTGTATTTGTGTACAGTATTTGTATGTGTAGTGAAGGAAAGGTGTAGAATATTTAGATATTAGTGCACATGTCAATTACTATCACCTTCCTCAGGACTTCCTCCTACAACAGTTGTCTGACTCCTCGGTACCCATTTACTGCTAGGTGAGCAGAAGCATCAAGTGAAACATTTTAGCCCAACCATTACTGTTATCTTTGGGGGATTGCATCCAACATTCTTGATTACAAGCCAAACATAAACCATTATGATACAGGACCCACATATATGGCTGTAAGGAGAGAAACAAATATCTTCATGTCCCTGGGTAAAAAAATAAGTCGGTTCCAGTTATTATAAGGATAAAAATCCCAAGAGGAGACTATCGGCTAGATAGCTACAGTACTGTAATAGGATATTGTGTATTGGTATTATATATATTAAAATAGATTTTGCCTTGAATAATATGTGTGGAGATGAAATATATTTTTATAAATTGTTTTAAATTATTTAATTTATCAGTAATATATACTGTATATCACTTTAGACAGAGAACTCTGTTCATTGTTATGCAACTTAATTCATTTGTTGTTCCATTTTGTCAGTTGTATGTTTGCACTCCAACATACAAATTCAGTCTGGAGAGCAGCGAGGAAGTGAATCACTGCGGCAGTAGGAATGTTGTTGTTCCCCCCAACTCGGACATCCCTTCATCGGTTAATGTTATGGTGGCCAAGTTTGACTATGTCCCTCCAGAAAATGTTACAAGCTTCATTACTAACAAGTAAGTATTATTTGTTTATTGTTAGATATAAAGTATTGCATTGATGAGCAGGTACCATTAATACTCAAGGGGTTGAAAGTTTAAAACATTAATTTATTGAACACTTTAGATGGACAATCCCTAACTATGTTTCCCCTAACAGATGCAAATTGAATTGAATGAACTGATGTGCCAAGTACAAAGTCTGTACTTACTTGCCAGTGCTTTACACTTGACTTGAGGTATTCTGTTTGTTCCCTCAGTGAGGTACTCTTGTTTCAATACTCAGTGAAACTTGTTCCTCATTCAGAGCTTTCCTCATCCTATGCTAAGTCTGATGCTCATTCAGCATAAGGGGGCAGGATTGCCAGGTGACCTGGGCTTCCATCTGCTGGGAGTCAGGCACATTACAATTGGATATTCCTTCCATCGTAATACTGTACTGCAATTGTTTACCTAGAAGTGCCTGATTTCCTTCAAGCTGTTATTTTTGTTGAGCCTATCCATTCTTGCGGGTCTTTCCTCAGTTTTGGGTTGATCTCTGATCCCCCATGGTCTCCTCACCTCATCGAGTGAGCTAGATTCTGATCCTAGCTTCCGGTAGGTGACAGATGAGTCTCAAAGACCAGGTGTCTTCCTGACGCTCTGGGAGTTTCTTGAGTCCAACCAGAAAAGTGGGTTTCATTATGGTCAACACCTGAAAATTTAAGTAAATTTTTTTTAACAATTTGCCTTTCAAATTTACACAAAGTTTTGTATTAACCAGGGAGTTCTCTGTATGTTTGTGCAGTAAGAAAATAAAAGTTGGTATTTTGAGAGAGAAATGACAAAAGGCACAATGATATGATGAAAGATGAAGTACAAGGATATTAGTAATGGTCATTAGTATCGATGATTTTTTTGGAGGGGACTTGCCAGATAATTTACTGCCTTGGTTATTGTTCTGTGATTCAGTTACCCATAGGTCCAACCCAATTTAATTAATTATCAAAAGAAAGGTCCTGCCAAAGGTATTCATCAGAATAAAATGCTTACTATAAAAGATTGCATAATTAAAAACTAAAAGTGAGACATTAGCTCATTTATTTGGCAGCCAATTAAGTTCCCACATATCATAACAGCTTGAGTTTAGGAATGTCTACACAACACAATGATTTCATTGTGTAGTGTGGTAAGCGTTTGCCTCCTGCTCCTCATGAAAGCTTACTTTCTACATTCAACTTTATTTTTAAATTATATAAATAATTAGGGTTTTGTGCTGGAATTACTTAAACATGATATTGATGTGCATGATAGAATAAATTGATTGTTGAAAAATATTTATTCTGTGCTAATTTAAATTTATCATTGTTAGGCATTTAATTCTGTCCTCTGACGCCCTTAAAAGAATTTAGGGAAATTTTGCACCAATTGGCTGTTTGTGGTGAGCAGCAACCTGAAGTGCACCTACTGGGTGATGTAGCTTATAGTAATGACACACTGAAACTACATTATAATATAAAAACTTTGTTGCATGTTTTGTTTTGATACACTGCATTATAATATAAAAACTTTGCTGCATGTTTTGTTTTGATACACTGCATTATAATATAAAAACTTTGCTGCATGTTTTGTTTTGATACACTGCATTATAATATAAAAACTTTGCTGCATGTTTTGTTTTGATACACTGCATTATAATATAAAAACTTTGCTGCATGTTTTGTTTTGATACACTGCATTATAATATAAAAACTTAGCTACATGTTTTGTTTTGATATGATTGTCTAGTTAATCTTGTATCTACAGATTTATGCTTAGTAATATCTTTTCTTTTTTTACAGCCGTGGCATTGCACCATCTTACGTATACCGCCAGCTGAGTGAACTTTACCACCCAACATCCTATGACCTTTGAAATTAAAAGTAAACTCTACCCTTGAGTTTTCCCCACACTAATATTGAATGTAAACTGAATTAAATCCGAGCAGAAAAATTGGTAATGTTATGCAGAAACATTGTCATTTATCATTAGCTATGCTTATTGGCCTTATCTGTTGCCACTTAGAACTGTGCATTTTCTGTGCAGTTATCTATAAAAATGCAGATCTTATCTTCACTTTGGTTCATCCGTCTGTGGCTGTGGTCTGTCTTTTGCTTGAATTTGAACACTAAATATTTTGTTTACATTTGTGTGGGCAACTTGGTTTGTAAAAAGACATCAACACGTCTTGTGCTATTGAGGCATTACCTGAATATTTTTATACTTATTTTATGACAATTTAACCAGTTTTATTGCTCATTTATTAGTTTCTCAAACAGATTTGCTTCTAAGCACAAACAACATTGTCTCTTTTACAGATTTAAATAATAAACATGAAAGGGTTTTGTTAGTTTTTCTCCACAAATTTGCAAACTAAACTTTTCATAAAGAACCTTTGTCGAAACGGTAGAAATTAATTTGGAAAATAAAATCATGCATCACCAGCAACATTTCATAAATTTTAGGCCTTAAACTCATCTTGTATGCAGTCATTTAACATTTTCGCAGTCCAGGGGCAAGATTCACAAAGCAGTTACGCAAGTACTTTTGAACGTGTACATCTTTCCTCAATCTTTGAAAGCTTTGGTTACATTTATTAAACACTTTACAAGCATGAAAACTTCCCAATCAAATGTTGTTATTGTTATAAACAGCCTCCTAGTGCTTCGGAACTTATTAACTGTTTAATAATTGTAAACAAAGCCACCAAAGATTGAGGAAAGATGTTCATGTTTGTAAGTACTTGCGTAACTGCTTCATGAATCTGGCCCCAGCCTCTCTGCTCGTTCCTAACTGTAAACGTTCTGGGCTTCCCAGGCTGCTGAGAGATGCAAAAAATGTTTACAATCATTTTACGTTTTCCAACTTATTTGTTCAGTTATAATTAAAAATCTAGTGCCAAAATGTTTGCAATTGAATTTATTAGATTAATGTTGTAAAAACAGAAATGTATTATAATAGATTATGCACAATAGAGATGGATGGATATATGAATATAGCAGTTGGATAACACAAAAGGGTTAAACTCATGGGAATGAATTCCTTCCGCAGATATTTCATATTCTTGATGGTTTTGTATCATAATTTCAATAACCTGGGTAAATGGTTATGCTCTATTGTACTGCTAAGTCTCTCTACAATACATTCATAACTCATGACACGATGGTGATGGTCTTTGATTGAGTGCCTACCATACATGTTAGTTATAGTTGGGCATACTTAGGGCTGGATTCTTACTCCCCCTACAAGAAAGTACAAAAATGTAAGAGGAGCTGTGATATTACTTTAGGAGGGTATTGAAGAAACTTCAAATGGCTTCAAATCGGGAGAAAATTAATTAAATCCCACTATGTACAAGTCCAAATTAAAAATAATGATGAACACAATACCTAATGTAAAGTTAATGCTAAATACCCATAATTATTACAGATATATAAAGTTTATAACACTTCTTAGAATCAATGAATAACCAACATTATTTTAAAAGAAAGTGTTGAAACGTGTGCATCATTTTATATTTTTAACACAGGTTAGAAGCCAAAATACAGAACGTGGGGAACAATTATCACTCGCACAGTATTACACCTCTGGACAAGCACAGCAACAAGCTTGACACTAGGAAGAAAATACATGATTTTCATCATAGTGTTGGATGCATACTGTTGACTGAAGGGGTTTAATACATATTACTAACTAACTTTCATGTGCGATTCATACTGCTGACCTGGCAAACCAAATTAATTAGTATTTATTATTACTTATATGCTTCAACACAAATAATGTTAAGTGTAAATAGATCACAATAATTGTAACTTGCTCAGTTAATGAATTCTTATGTCATATTGTTAATTGAAAATCTATGCTTTTTACCAATTTACAAAAACTATTTAATGAAAAATTTTCTTAGACACAGGTTCAGTGTCTGAGCTCCATGTGAGAGATCAGACCTTCCACCACTACCCATGCCTGAGATCAGTGTGAGGTGCATTATAAACTAATCAAATAATAGAAAACGAATATAGCTTGCTTTTCTTAAAGATTTGGGGATCGAGTCACTGAACCCAGTTTGTGACTAATCCTACTACCTCTATCCACTTCATTGTTATTGGTCCATAATATACTAATTAAACAACAGGGTAGTGGAGACGCACTTTATTCACATGCTTTAGATACGATAAACTCTCATAAGTCAAACCTGGCCTCGGGCCGGGCTTGGGGAGTAGAAGAACTCCCAGAACCCCATCAACCAGGTAATCAACCAGATAAGGCACAAGATTAGGAAGTCCCTGCATTAATGACTGATAGCCAAAAGTTGGACCCTCAAGCCAGAGCTCGTTCTCCACCATCAAATAGATAAGAATTTACCTGACTTGCATCACCTCTACCTCTATTTACCCCCCTATCTATACCAATCTTATTATCGACAAGCGTGCGTTGGGTTCACCTGGAAAGGCTAACTGTTGACTGTAGTGTAGCCTTTTGTCTTATGTTTACCTTGAATCTAAAGTCATTAGCCTGGTGGCTGCTGATAACAGACTTGATACTATTCACCTTCCTATATCCATACTTGATCTATTTCCCATCTATGCTAATATGGAAGTGGATCAAGAGCTCCCTCAAGTTCCAATCATTCCTTCCTCACACATCAAATACTGTCAGCGTGCCTTATACTTTATTATTATAATAATTTAAAAAAAATATTACATTGGACACTAATTTTTATTTTGTAGAGTAGCTTATTATATGCACAGCATTTTGAGTCTGTGGTTACTGCGCTATGTGTAGCCTATGGTTACTATAGGCTATGTGTAGCCTATGTGTGTATACAAGCTTGATCATTGCCCACACCTAGAGAGATCTATTGTTGCTTCACATGCATACAGTGCACTTCCCATGCTGGTTATTGCACTTTTTCTTACTCTGGTGGAAAAATGTCAGAGGAAATGGGATAAGATTAAACACAAAAAAGTTTATGCCACCAGGTACAATATCGCTCTGACCCATTGTTTCTTATCTTTGCCCCCCACATTACCCTCTCCCCTTTCCCCCAACTTTTCTCCCCCTCTTTCCCTCCCAACCATTTGATTCTGATTGTTGCCACCAGAGGTGGCTAGTTTATTGTGCCCCCCATACACACATTGAAAACAATAGCATAAACATATAATAAAGAGGGCATAAAAGGTCATAATCAGACCTCGGCTGGTATTTTTACATTTACAGTTTCACCTTATCTGCACACCTTATCTCCTCTCCATGTTATCGAGCAACAAGTCCTCGAAGCGAACGAAGATTTTTGGAAAATTGAGAGATGGTATTTTCTTGATGCAATCCTCACAGTTCAGGTTGACTGACAGGTAGTCCATAATAGTGGCATCATGCTGACGTCCTTAAGCATATATTGCATCGTTGCTCTAAATACATATTAATAATAATAATAATGATAATGTTTATTCTGGTAAAAGTACATACATACAAAATGAGTTACAAACAGAATGCTGGATTTCTAGATAGAGCTAGTGTATACTATGCCTAAAGTCACTAATATGCACAGTGTTTCAGGCAAGAAATATTTGCTAATGAACTATGGTATATGGTGCATAATACAATTATATTAAACCTGATTTTCATTGGTTTACCTTTATAAAGACAAACATTCGAAACTTTTATTCGTATGGAAAGCAAACTATTGCTAGAGACATAATTAGATTAGCTAGCAGTATTTTATGTTCTGACTGCAGTTCCAAGTATTCTAGTGATTAAATCTTTAGTTTAAAAAAAATAAAATCATGTTAAGATTATTCTGATAGTGCTGTACTGCAGCTGACGAGATACAGCTGCATATAAAGCTGCGGTGCAGACGAGATACTGTTACATATAAAACTACAGTGCTGATGAGAGAGAGCTGTGTATAAAGCATATATACTGATGAAATACAGCCGAGTATAAATCTACGGTGCTGATGAGAAACACTATATACTGTATTGCGTGATGCAGCGGGGTCTAGTTATCAGCCAAACTTGCGGCTGTGTTTTTTTATTTCTTCTGCTGTCTAAATTGTGTTTAAATTTTTTATATTATGTATGCAAGAATGTACAGTGGGCCGTGTTATTACGAACTTCTTTTGTCAATTTGTTAGTTCTCACAGAGCAATTAACTCATAGCATGGACTCTCTAGTCTTGCATCTCCAGTAGCACAGTAGTGTTTGTCCTCGACTCGCCATCGAGTGAACCGGGTTGAAGTCCCCAGCAGGACAAAGAGCAAAAGGAACATTTCCTCTCACCTAATGCTTTTCTTCATCTAGGAGTAAAATAAGTATGTGGAGTTAATCATTTGTTGTCGGTTGTATCCTACAGAAGGTTGGTAGTTTGACTTGGGCAGTACGTGGTTCTTACCCTTTTAAGTCTTATTTCCCCTTTTTTCAACCACGTTCTCACCTGTGGACCCCCTTTCCCCACAGTCATGCTCTCACCCATGGACACCCCCCCTCCCATATCCACACCCTCATCTGTGGACAATGCCCCCTCCCCTCACAGCTATGCCCCCACCAACAGACACCCCCCACAGCCACGCTCTCACCTGTGAACCCTCTTCCCCCCCCCCCTTCAACAAAACGGATCAAACTAACAAAATCGACAGTAACCATTGCTGTGACAAATGCACCCATTCTTATGCCATACTTAAAACTATATCAATGATAACAGGAGACATTCACCTCACACTCATAAGGGGTTCTTATCGTCTTAAGAGTACAATACAATTCATTGTATTAGGCTCATGGTCCCCCTTGAAACTCTTCCAAGAACCCTTGGGTTCCATGGACCCCCAGTTGGGAACCACTGCCCTAGGGAGCCCTGGATAAGCTTAAGTACAGGCTTCCTCTCGCCGACAACAGTTACAGAAACGCTCCTGTGCCAGGTAAGTCCTTTACGGGCTCACTGTATCCCGTGCTACTTGGAACGTTTTGTTCTGAGTAGCTGAATCTATAACAACAACAACAACGCCGACAACGGGAATTATAACATTCTCACCATGGAAGCTACACGGGAGGGAAAAGACGGTGTATGTTGTACAGGGAGGTGCAGTGAGCCAAGGTTCGCATTAATGCCGGTTGGAAGGAATACGAGAGGACTGGGAGTAGTGTATACTAAGGTATAGAGTACAGAGGTGTTCCACGAGCCAAGCCAATCGGGGCACATTGATGTCACACCTCTCACAATACATATATGGAAAAAAATGTTGTTTTTTTTCGTTATATTAAAAACAAAAAAGTTGTAGTGACGTAGAACGATATCTTTGGGCTATTTCTGAACCCTGGGATGGACCATAACCTTCCCCCCTGCCCCACTCACCAGGGGGGGGGGGTGTCCAATCACCAGGGGAGCCCACTCACCAAGGGAGACCACTCACCAGGGGAGGGGGCCACCCACTCCCAAGAACCACTTGCAAGTACTCGAGATATACGAAGAAAAGTGCGTTGCGTTGCGTTACGCCTTTTGTTGTTCAGTTGGTCCCTGCCTGCCGGAGTGATCACAGCCCTTAGGTCCGCCGCTACGCTGCTCACCAACACTGCGATACCCGAGGTATGGACCCCATACAGGCTCGTGTAGCCTCTTGATATAAATGACAAGTTTACAGTATTAAAACTTTAAGAGGTTTCTTCAGTTCATTTATTATGGACCCAATACCCAACCTGTGGGCGGAGGTGGACCCCATACCTATCCTGTGGGTGGAAGTGGACCCCATACCTATCCTGTGGGTGGAAGTAGACCCCTATTTATCCTGTGGGCGGAAGTGGACCCCATACCTATCCTGTGAGTGGAAGTGGATCCCTACCTATCCTGTGGGCGGAAGTGAACCCCCATACATATTCTGTTGGTGGAAATGGAGCCCATGCCTATCTTGTGTGGAGCCCATACCTATCCTGTGGGTAGAAGTGGAGCCCATACCTATCCTGTGAGTGGAAGTGGATCCCTACCTATCCTGTGGGTGGAACTAGAACCCATAGCTATCCTGTGGGTGGACGTGAGCCCCTACCTATCCTGTGGGTGGAAGTGGACACATACCCATCTTGTGGGCTGTACCGGGAAAGGTGCCGACCGAACAAGGAACACCATCACTCAGTAAAATACGATTCGAAATTTCATTAACATATATCTAAGAAAATATTAGGAGACTGAGACTGAGCTCCCGTCTCTGGTCTCCCCGGACACACATACACACACTACCCACTCTACCATGATGAGCTTAATAGTATCTTCACTAGATGATCTCCCGGCTTGGTGCTCTCTTTTGATACTAAATGATCTGCCAGACTCTCTTGGAGGTTGGCAAGTATCATCTGGTATCCAGAAAATAATGGCAAGACTCGAAAATGCAGTAGTATGGCTCCTGGAAACTTGACAGTGTGACTGCCGCTCTACAATGTCAGTAATGAGTCCAAATCTTCACAGATCTTGCCTGCCATGAATGAAGAAGGTGAGAAATGTCTCACCAAAGGATGTGGGAAATTACATTCTTGTACAGTACGCGTAGCGTTTCGGGCAAGTCCTTAATCCTAAGGTCCCTGGAATACGATCCCCGCCGCGAAGAATCGTTTTTTCATCCAAGTACACATTTTACTGTTGCGTTAAACAGAGGCTACAGTTAAGGAATTGCGCCCAGTAAATCCTCCCCGGCCAGGATACGAACCCATGACATAGCGCTCGCGGAACGCCAGGCGAGTGTCTTACCACTACACCACGGAGACTGTTGGGAAATCAACCAAATCAAAATAAATAAGCTAATAGCATAAGTAGACATTCCTTCCATGGTGAAAGAATGAATTCCCTGAAGAACGAAATAAAATCAAAACTCCTTATAAGAAAAAAAAAGAAACTTTTAAGGGCTTAAGTTAAAGTTCGAATGATTTTCAAGCAATCAAAATAAAATTTTCAAAATGCAATTTTAACATGAATACTTCCTTCAGTAGAGCATGGAGTTAGATTAGAGAGATAACGAGAACAAAGATTTCAACCCCGTTATTACATCTCAAGATAAGGAAGATACTGTTCAAGATCCCACAAAATTAACAATGGAACCAGCTGGCGTGACCCCAATCATACCGTTCTTCATTACTTTACAATCTAAAGTGAAGGAAATTAGTCCCAATTAATCAATTTTAGAAACTTGCCGAGAGGAAATTGATGCATTTCTCTAATATTGACGAGGATTATAATACATTTTCACCTGTTTAACTGAATGATGAGCCATACCACTGAGAAACTTCCTTACCAAATGAGAGCGAAATTAGATGTGAAACAAAGCATCTTTATGATCCATTGGAAGCTTATACTCTTAGTTGTCATAGCAACCTCTTATACTTAATGTACAAAATTTCGACGCTATCGACCATAACATAAGAAAACTGGCGTTTCGATCAAATAGATATTTCGATCATTAAAACATCAACGCATCCTCTAACTAATGAGAATCGGCTTCGGTAGCTGAGGTGAGTTTGACTGGTTCAAAAGTTTCTAGTTAGGTAGAATCAACTTTGAAATTGACGCTTTATAAATCCTTGATAAATCGTGAGAACTGGCTGCTGATATACGATATGGGAGTGAGGAACTCCCTCTCAAGCTATCGTATATGGATTCGATAGTTTGTATATAGAGAACATGCAATACTTCACATTTATACACCTTTCCTCCACATAGGTGTGGAAGGAAACACATACGACAACACATATGACTCGCTATATGATGGCAGCTGGACCCATACCAATGTGATCTTGATCCAACAGGCGCCACGATGCTGGGAGCGACATTGAGGTTGTGTTTAGCAGTGGCGATGGTCGTACTTGTGACTCTGTTGCAGGTCAGCCAGGGCGTCCCGGACGACGAACCTACAGGTGAGATCACACGATGTCAAGCCAATGTACCAGAAGGGGTTACGGGGGGGAAGGGGGAGCAGAAGGCACATGCAGACCATAATGATTAGACCCTATATACGTCATGCCACAATAGGTTAATTATGAAATATATTTTTCTATCACACACGGGGTCAGCAGGCCACATATAATCAGATAACTTGGCAATATTTTTCGGTTAGATAACAGGAGTTTAAGAACTTGTGTCAAAGGTACTTAAGTCAACACCGAGTGTCTTACGGGGTCCAGCAGTCACTTCACAGTCCAGCAGGGACCACACAATGACAATAGTGATTGCTTGAGTGTAGTGTAGGAAAGTCATCGGCCATACGGCCGATAACTCATGGCTTAGGAACTTATTGTTTACAAGAGGTCACTATGAGAACAAGTCAGACGCGGATACTGGTGAAATTGTGAGTTTAAGAGAGGGAGAGAGAAGGTAGAGTGTTGATTGTAGGAGGGTGTGGATGGGAAGAAGGTAATGATAATTCGTTGTCGGGGACAGGAAGCCTGTGTACACACACACACTTAAGAAGTCCCCTCCCCCCACCCCACAAGGTCTACCTACTGGCCGTCACGAGGATGTAACCTCACAACAATTGCCTAACTCTCGGGTACGTGCTCTCAGGCAAGTTAACAGAGGCATTAGGTGAAAAGTCAACGTGTCAAATCATTTATGTCCTGCCCGGGAATGGAACCCAGGACCCCCCAATTGAGAGTCGAGAACGAACCCAACTGCACTAAGAGACAGAAGGGAAATGTATTATTTACCATTTAAGCCAAATCCCTGGAAACACACACCGAAACTGTCTCTATTTTCCGCTTGTTACAACTTGTAATGAAGTTGTTACATCTTGGCTTAACGTGTTTATGACGTATTAGAACGTTGTTTCAACTTGCTATATTGGTTGTTATAACTGGTTAGGAGGTGTTAAAACTTGTTCGAACGTTGTACCAACGTCGTAGTTTCGGTGTGTGTTTGCCGGGATGTCATCCATATGCAAGATTAAACTTGTGACTCTTCGTCACCAGCCTGATTAACATTTTATATTAATAATGATCTTATCTTGAGGTTATCTTGAGATGATTTCGGGGCTTTTTAGTGTCCCCGCGGCCCGGTCCTCGACCAGGCCTCCACCCCCAGGAAGCAGCCCGTGACAGCTGACTAACACCCAGGTACCTATTTTACTGCTGTTATTGATCTATTATTAATGTTTTACTCGGCAGATTGGGTGGACAAGTGGAACAATGATAGTTTCACAAATTACATTAACGAACTCCTACAAAATTACCTGAGCAACATTAGCGACCCGTTGGTCATTGAGAAGCCCTTGGAACTGAGACTCAACGTTCCGTACATGGCTGAGTGAGTATGTTCTACGTTTCTTACTTGGCTGAGTATGTTCTACGTTCCTTATTTGGTTGAGTATGTTCTACGTTCCTTACTTGGTTGAGTGAGTATGTTCTACGTTCCTTACTTGGTTGAGTGAGTATGTTCTACGTTCCTTACTTGGTTGAGTGAGTATGTTCTACGTTCCTTACTTGGTTGAGTGAGTATGTTCTACGTTCCTTACTTGATTGAGTGAGTATGTTCTACGTTCCTTACTTGGTTGAGTGAGTATGTTCTACGTTCCTTACTTGGTTGAGTGAGTATGTTAGACGTTTCATACTTGGCTGAGTATGTTAGACGTTCCATACTTGGCTGAGTATGTTTAGATGTTCCATACTTGGCTGAGTATGTTTAGATGTTCCATACTTAGCTGAGTGAGTATGTTCTACATTCCATACTTGGCTGAGAGAGTATGTTCGTGTATATGTATATGTATTTTGCTTATCCAACCTTCTCGATGAGACGACCCTTGTCTACAGTATTGAGCTGACGATGAGCAACACCGAGCTATGGGGCTTGCAGAGTCTCTTCGCCCACAACTGTACCTTAGGACTGGGCTACAGTACGGGTGCCCTGCTGAACGAGACCATAGTTTTGAACCTCAAGACGCCCCAACTCACAATCAAGACCCCCGCTTACGTCATGAACGGCACCGTCGTCGACCACATCAACCTGGCTGGCGCAGGACCCGCGTCGTGAGTATAGCCTCTTGCCGTGATTTGGTTCACGTGAGTACAGCCTCTTGCTGTGTTTTGGTTCACGTGAGTATAGCCTCTTGCTGTGTTTTGGTTCACGTGAGTATAGCCTCTTGCTGTGTTTTGGTTCACGTGAGTATAGCCTCTTGCTGTGTTTTGGTTCACGTGAGTATAGCCTCTTGCTGTGTTTTGGTTCCCGTGAGTACAGCCTCTTGCTGTGTTTTGGTTCACGTGAGTATAGCCTCTTGCTGTGTTTTGGTCACGTGAGTACAGCCTCTTGCTGTGTTTTGGTTCCCGTGAGTACAGCCTCTTGCTGTGTTTTGGTTCATGTGAGTACAGCCTCTTGCTGTGTTTTGGTTCCCGTGAGTATAGCCTCTTGCTGTGTTTTGGTTCACGTGAGTATAGCCTCTTGTCATGTTTTGGTTCACGTGAGTATAGCCTTTTGCTGTGTTTTGGTTCCCGTGAGTATAGCCTCTTGCTGTGTTTTGGTTCCCGTGAGTATAGCCTCTTGTGTTTTGGTTCCCGTGTGCCTTTGCTGTGTTTTGGTTCCCGTGAGTATAGCCTTTTGCTGTGTTTTGGTTCACGTGAGTATAGCCTCTTGTCATGTTTTGGTTCACGTGAGTACAGCCTCTTGCTGTGTTTTGGTTCACGTGAGTATAGCCTCTTGCTGTGTTTTGGTTCCCGTGAGTATAGCCTCTTGCTGTGTTTTGGTTCACGTGAGTATAGCCTCTTGTCATGTTTTGGTTCACGTGAGTATAGCCTCTTGTCATGTTTTGGTTCACGTGAGTACAGCCTCTTGCTGTGTTTTGGTTCACGTGAGTATAGCCTCTTGTCATGTTTTGGTTCACGTGAGTATAGCCTTTTGCTGTGTTTTGGTTCCCGTGAGTATAGCCTCTTGCTGTGTTTTGGTTCACGTGAGTATAGCCTCTTGCTGTGTTTTGGTTCCCGTGAGTATAGCCTCTTGCTGTGTTTTGGTTCCCGTGAGTATAGCCTCTTGCTGTGTTTTGGTTCACGTGAGTATAGCCTCTTGCTGTGTTTTGGTTCACGTGAGTACAGCCTCTTGCTGTGTTTTGGTCCGTGTGTGTAAATGTGAGAAGATGCCGTCATCTTCTTGATGTTATTCTGAATCTAGTGATATTCGGAAGTTAATTCCATGCACCTTCTCCCATCAATACGTGGAGAAACTGAGCATATATAACCGTTGAATAATTGATATATTGGGGATGGCTTACCACAGAGTAATTACAATATTTTAAACAAAAGTTCGAACAGACTCTATGGCTGCTATCTCATAATAAAACGAGCTAACCCGCCCCACATTAATTCCCTCCTGCCCGTGCCACAGTTAGCAGATAATGATTGAAAACAAGGCTTCCCTCGCCACAATTTTTCATTTCGCTAATCGCCAATTTCAACCTACTCCTTCCCCCCCCCCCTCCCCCCTCCCCAATCGACTCATCCTATTTTCTCTATTCTGCTGTTCTTAGATTATAAAGAGCCGAGAGGAACCATCTCACACCACGGGAGACATCTCCCGTCACGCAGGGTGCAGTCGCACCTCCACAGATTTCCAGTATCATCTATTGATACTGGTTATGGCTCAAAAGGGCCATAACCACTTACGGGCTATTCATGCCCGTGCCACCTTTTGGGTGGCTTAATCTTCATCAATCATTCATCATTTCACACCACTAAGCCTCTACGCCAACACAGGATGTTGTCTTCCCAACATATTACCATCCGCCTTCTGCATAGCCTAACACTCACACCTGCCACCTGTAAATATGTGGCCCCGTATGTGGTAGAAAAGTTTAGGTTTGGGGTTTTCCTTCTCGTCCTCTCTATGAAATGGTAAAAAAATAATTCCATTTTTTTTAACGGAGTCCACTTGTGAACGTTCCACTCTTGGTAGTTTTAAGTATTGTCATTTTGGAACGACAGGTTGAAGTTGTGAAGAATTGTGTCAAACGATTATCTATCTGTATATATATAATCAATGATTTAGTAGATTGTGGCGTGACTGCACATTACTCTACGTTTGCTACCTAACTTCGCCTGTCCTCCACCTAGATAAATATGTTTATTTGTGATGTGTGTCTATGTATGTATTAACACGTTGCATTGAATGGGGTGAGAATAGCTTGAGCTACCTCATCCCTTTGTGTGTATTTTACCTCAAAAAACTTATTTCAATTTCAATTTCAATTCCACCAAGATAAGTAATGTTTTTTTCCTCTCTTAGAATCATCATTGATGAATTGTCTGTCGGCATGACGGAAAATGGGACCATCAGCCTATCGAAACTCAATTTCTCAGATAATGCAACCCTTGATCTGGAGATGAAACGCTGGACGGTAAGGGTGCTACTTATATTCACTGCCACACAAGACAATAATTCTAAATTGTAGATTTGAACATATATTTCATAACACTACAATCCACTACATCACGTATTATCATATATTTGCAGGGTGATGGGATAGTCTGGGAGTACGGGACGGACATAGGTTGATTGGGGGGGTAGACTAAGGTAGATGCTTTAAGAAGTATTAGGCATTTTAAAAACAAGATTTTCAAGGAATCAAAGGGAAAATATATTGTATGATGTCCGTAGAAATTTTTGGTGCTCGGAGTAATATGTTTATCGAGAGTAACAATAACAATATGTAACGTTATTGTGATTTATTGTCTGTGATTTATAATCATCTCATTCAGTTCTCCCTTTCTGTTCTCCCACTCCCCCCCCCCATTGAACTTCATTCGGTCCCTCGGCTTACTACGTTGATTGATTTACATACTACGTCGACTGATTTAATTCAGTCTCTACGTCGATTGATGAAGATTAAGCCACCCAAGAGGTGGTACGGGCATGAATAGCTTGTAATCCCTACATCTGTAATATTTTTTCAACGTGTCCTTACGGGCTATTCATGCACGTTCCTCCTATTGGGTGGCTTAATCTTCATCAATCAATCAATATGTTCGCATACATATTGATTGATACACAGGAGCATCACATACAGTGATGCTCCTGTGCCAGGTAAGTCCACTACGGGCTCACCATAGCCCGTGTTACTTGGAACTTTTTGTTCCCAGTAGCTGAATATAAAGCAACAAACAATATCAGCGTGTTTCTTGATCTAACTACTCTTATAGCTACATTATGTACTCTAGCATGATAATGCTGTCGTTGTCATAGAGCACCAGGGGGATGGAGGGAGATATGTGGTATAGTCTCTCTCGTTCCTCCAAAAATGTTAATTTAACTCATATTTACCTCTCATTATTATCTGCTATCGAGGGCGATGAGTCACAATAACGTGGCTGAAGTATGTTGACCAGACCACACACTAGAAGTTGAAGGGACGACGACGTTTCGGTCCGTCCTGGACCATTCTCAATCGACTTGAGAATGGTCCAGGACGGACCGAAACGTCGTCGTCCCTTCACCTTTTAGTGTGTGGTCTGGTCAACATGATCTATTAGCCCCCATGAGTGTCTTCAGTGGCGGGTGTTGGTGGGGGACTACGACAGGTGGTCTTGGCGCGGGCACCGGCAGGAACAGGTGTTCATGGTATGTGTGGTTATGCAGCTGTGCTCTCTTTTGGCAGGTGAACTTCGAGAACCTGATGCCCGGGACGGATCTGGGCACGCTGTTCAACGAGTTCTTCAGCGCCCACGGCCAGGAGCTCCTTGATATGTTCGAAATCAAGTTCAGCGAGAGTGGCAAATTCGTCAAATTGTTCAACATAATTATGGAAGAAGTAATCATGAACATCATTGATCACATAACAACTCGTCCTCCCACTACCTCCACCGTCACCACCGATGTGTCTGAAGGTTTTACCACACCCTAAGTGCCTAGTGACAGCAAAGCCAAGGAAAGACTGCTTCCTCCCGCGATTGATTGATTGATTGATGAAGATTAAGCCATCACAAGAGGTGGCACGGGCATGAGTAGCCCGTGGGTATAGTAGATGTTTGGAGTGAATGTGGTCTTTGGTCGTGTGACATTTTGAAGTGTCTCTGGGCTTGTCCCCCAACGGTTTAATACAAGTAAACGTAAGTTAAGAGGATGGTGCTAGAGGTGTCGAGCCTTGTAACTCAAACACAGATAGTTTGCCTTGCATTTAGAACACTGACGCGCTGTGTGATCAATGCAATAGTGTCTTACACACAGAGATCACACTAACGTGATGCATCAAATGAAAAAGTCCACAAGGGCCGATCCTCGTCACGGCCCTTGTGGACTTGTTCATAGTGTCTTAAATGCAATCGTTGCTTCACTTAGCACAAAGTTTATCAGACCACACTAGAAGGTGAAGGGACGACGACGTTTCGGTCAGTCCTGGACCATTCTCAAGTCGATTGTGATGAGGAAGTAGAGACAGGCAGTAAATAGGTAAGAGAGGGGATGAGGAGCAAAGCCGAAACGTCGTCGTCCCTTCACCTTCTAGTGTGGTCTGGTCAACTTACTTTAGCCACGTTATTGTGACTCATCGCCTGCACAAAGTTTATCATTAAACATTCAACCCGCACCAATCAGAAGAAAATAAAAATTATGTTTTAACTTCATTGGGCTCCAGAATGGACCGAAGCGTCTTTACTTAATTGTTATCATGTGTCCGTGTTGGGTGTACTTCTCAACCACGTTATTGTAAATTACTTTATATTTCCATTATCAGTTTGGAATATAGTCCGGCTTACCTGTATTCAACAAATCGATAACCCTAAATAAATTGAAATTACTTTTCAAACCTATTGATTTTCAATCCTCAGGAATCTAGGAATGTTTTAAAAATCTATCAAAACTTGTCGATTGATTTTAAGAGAATCGAAACCCCTAACCTAACCCTACACCTAAATATGCACGCTGTACTAATATACATTAAATTTATATTCAAGGAATTTCTAATTTGACTAAATTATCAACAGGCGCAAAGCCTGGAAGACCACGTAGGAGTGACGTGTACGTTGACCAGACCACACACTAGAAGGTGAAGGAACGACGTGTACGTTGACCAGACCACACACTAGAAGGTGAAGGAACGACGTGTACGTTGACCAGACCACACACTAGAAGGTGAAGGAACGACGTGTACGTTGACCAGACCATACACTAGAAGGTGAAGGAACGACGTGTACGTTGACCAGACCACACACTAGAAGGTGAAGGAACGACGTGTACGTTGACCAGACCACACACTAGAAGGTGAAGGAACGACGTGTACGTCGCTGGATATGCAAAAAGTGTTAAAAATATCTCTTACTCAAGATGCCAGAACGAGAACAAGAAGGAAAATGCGAGCGCCAGCAAGTGTACCGGACTCTCCAAGACAAATGACTCCGAGGAGTCATGGGAGCCGGTCGGCCGAGCGGACAGCACGCTGGACTTGTGATCCTGGGGTCCCGGGTTCGATCCCAGGCGCCGGCGAGAAACATTGGGCAGAGTTTCTTTCACCCTATGCCCCTGTTACCTAGCAGTAAATAGGTACCTGGGTGTTAGTCAGCTGTCACGGGCTGCTTCCTGGGGGTGGAGGCCTGGTCGAGGACCGGGCCGCGGGGACACTAAAGCCCCGAAATCATCTCAAGATAACCTCAAGATAACCTCAAGAGGAGACGATAGGAACGCAAGAAGCTCAGTAACCCTCGAAATCGGGACATTCCACAAGAAGGTGCGCGAATTGGCGTGGGACAATATCTATGTTGAGAAATCAAAACATAGATACAGTTCAAAGAAAAAGGAACAGAGCGAGGATCTGAGATATAAGGTGTTGGGGAAGGGGAACATGGGTAAAGTGGGTAGAGATGGTTAGGGCAAGGAAGGGGGCAGGGGTAAGGAGCACAGGCGAATCGACAAGGAAGGAGGAGGCGCCGGGAAGGTGCAGTTGTGGTACTCGGACTGAAGACGGACAGGAACGATGGTGCGCTCCGAAGCGGAAGCAACTACTGAGTAAGGAACAAGGGATGTTGTTGTTGCTAAAGATTAAGCTACTCGGAACAAGTTCCAAGTAGCACGGGCTATGGTGAGTCCGTAGTGGACTTACCTGGCACAGGAGCGGTGCTGGACGGTAGAACAAGGGCTGGACGGTAGAACAAGGGCTGGACGGTAGAACAAGGGCTGGACGGTAGAACAAGGGCTGGACGGTGAGAACAAGGGCTGGACGGTAGAACAAGGGCTGGACGGTAGAACAAGGGCTGGACGGTAGAACAAGGGCTGGACGGTAGAACAAGGGCTGGACGGTAGAACAAGGGCTGGACGGTGAGAACAAGGGCTGGACGGTGAGAACAAGGGCTGGACGGTAGAACAAGGGCTGGACGGTGAGAACAAGGGCTGGACGGTAGAACAAGGGCTGGACGGTGAGAACAAGGGCTGGACGGTAGAACAAGGGCTGGACGGTAGAACAAGGGCTGGACGGTGAGAACAAGGGCTGGACGGTAGAACAAGGGCTGGACGGTGAGAACAAGGGCTGGACGGTAGAACAAGGGCTGGACGGTAGAACAAGGGCTGGACGGTAGAACAAGGGCTGGACGGTGGGAACAGCCAAAGTACAAAAGCTGTCTCCGCTACCGAGAAGGGCGGAGGCGCAGGAACAAGAATAGAGGAGACGGGAAAGCCTTCTTACCCGCCGGGAAAGAAGGCGGACCAGACCAGGCTTATGTTTCTGAGAGACAACCTTTAAGGTACTGTGAGGTAGCCGGAATCATCTCAGGCGAGGAAGGAGAACAAGAGCAAGTGACCGAGGATGGACGGTGAATATCAACCCGGATGGTTATATGCCGGGTTGATATATAATTATATATAACGTTACATCGGTGATATATTATATTATATATTATAACCCCTCCCCGGGTAATATATAACACGGGAGGAACGAGAGGAAAGATGGAACAGAGTCGTAGAGGCCCACAGTGGATACATAAGAGAGATAAGGCGACCAGAAAAGGACAGGCAAAGGGAAGGGAACTATCAGGAGAAAGTACCAAGCCAATACTACTATATAGCACTGGGAAGGGATCAGGATAAGAATTTGGGATGGGACGGGGGGAAGGAATGGTGCCCAGCAACTTGTGGACGGTCGGGGATTGAACGCCGACCTGCATGAAGCGAGACCGACGCTCGAAAACTACTGGGGAGCCGAGGGTGGGACTGACAAGCTCGATGAAATGCATGAGCGTAAATCATGTCAGAAAAGGGAAAAAGGTGGACCTGACGTCTCGTCTCGTGGGAAAGATATGAGATCTCTGTGTTTAAGGCGGGGAAGGCGGCTAGTTCAAAATTGTAATACAGACAAGAACGCGAAAAAAAACATGGGTGTGATCACTGGGAGAACATCGTTGCAACCACTATCAAAAGTTACCGTGACCATCATAATACTCAAGAGTCAGATTTCCCATATTTCCAATATTTTGTGGAAAATCTGACCCATCGCCGTTTTCTCTAATTGACATATTTTCGGCATAAAAAGTCGTAATTTAAAACTCCAAATATGTGTAACGTGCCAGAATTCGGCTAAAAAAAATAACGCTCATGAGTCAGATTTTCGATATTTCCGATATGTTAAAAACTGCAGGTCAATTTTGGAAAAATTCTAATCCATCGCCGTTTTCTCTAAGGAATAAAGAAAATAAGAGCTTCAATCAGAGCTTTAATATAACAATGTGCTTTAATATACTTACTTATCTCTCTCATCTCATTTTTCTCTTGTAATGTATCTTTCATTTATCAATTCTGATTGAAATTACCTACTTAAAATTATCTGCTAGATTAAGGACCTGCCCGAAACGCTGCGCGTACTAGTGGCTTTACAAGAATGTAATTACTGTACTATCCAATGTATTCTCACAAACCCAATGTACCTTCTTGTATATATATAAATAAATAATAAATAAATAAATAAATAAATAAATAAATAAATAAATAAATAAGTTAACGCTTTACACCAACCAGCCATCATGAGTCACAGCTGAGCTGCCGGAGGTCAGTCAACTGATGATGTAAACAATGAATCAGTCAAAATAGAGTATAATAACTGATACAATTACACAATATTTTATTCCAACTGGCAACGATGTATGTTAGAGCGACTCAATATGTATGTAACCAATCACTTTCGTAACTATGTATACATATACGTCAACCGCCACCCATAAACATACAAACGCACACTCTAGGCATATGTATTAAGGGTATCACTGTATATAATTATTATATAGAGCTATAACTTTAAGAGGTATGATTAGTGTTGGTGTTTATGAGTTACTGTTGACATCGAGCGTCTTCCCACCTGACTCTCTCGCATGGCCGCAGCCTCTTTATAGCCACCATTTTCTTTGTAACCCGTTCAGTGGCGAACTATGGCAAATGACTTGATTGTTCATCAGACTACACACTAAATGGTGAAGGGACGATGACGTTTCGGTCCGTCATGGACCATTCTCAAGTCAATCGACTTGAGAATGGTCCAGGACGGACCGAAACGTCGTCGTCCCTTCACCTTCTAGTGCGTGGTCTGGTCAACATTCTTCAGCCACGTTATTGTGACTCATCGCCTGCAAATGACTTGATTTCCGTTGTTGGGGGATCAGGAAGTTTGTATTTAGGTGTATCGAGGCCCTTCTTTACCATCGACTGACTTTCCCTAGGCTGTAGTCCACAGTAATTGTCTATCTTCTAAGTACCTATTTACTGTTGGGCGATTAGAGGCATTAGGTGAGAGGGAAGAAAGGAAACCTATCCAACTGTCTGTGTCCTGCCCAGGAATCGAACTTGGGACCGTCGGCTGTGAGACGACATAGATTACCTTAATTTTGTTGCTACTGAACTACCGAACTGGTATATCATTGTCGAGGACAGGACGGCTGTCAACGTCCCTCTTGCCAGGATACAGCCTGCCCGCACCGATACTGAGATTCACAAGATTCACAATCTCACAAGCCGCTGGCTTCCTGCCCCCGTCGAAACCACAAGTGATGGTGTCCCTAAGATACATCGTCACACCACTGGTTGATATGCTTTATAGTCTACAGTATACCCTCTCGATCACTTTCACAATCCGAGTTTTGTAACTTGCTTAGCTAGACGAATTGTGGGGTTCAGTCCCTGAGCCCATTATGTGCCTCTGTAACCCTTTCCACTACCGCCCACAAGATGGGTATGGGGTGCATAATAAATGGACTAAACTCGCTTTCACAATCCGAGACCGTGATTACCACTCTCATTGTGATGAGGCTATAGATTGTACTAGAATTGGTTTAGTTGTGTTTGGATTTTTGCATTACCTCCTTTTCACTCAATCTTTATTAATTATTTACCTTTTATTTTTTGCTACTAACAGACTAGTAATTCCAAAATAAAATTTTCAGTTTGTACATATAAATATAACACAAACGTAATGTAATAAACATTATCATTATTAATGAAATATTTAAAACAAAAAGTTACCTGTTAACTTTTTCAATTTTGCAACAAATTACCTAATTAAAATTATCTGTTAGAGTAAGGATCTGCCCGAAACGCTATGCGTGCTAGTGGCTTTACAAGAATGTAAAAACTTCAATGCTATGTACTCTCATAAACCCAATGTACCTTCTAGTACATATATAAATAAACAAGGGGGTGGTAGGAGAAAAGCACACAGAAACTGTATTGGAGGGGACCTACATTCCCTCCAATGCGTTATGTGTGGTTTCCTCCGAGGCTATGGGTCCCCCTTCTTCCAGCCAGAGGTGGTACTCCCTTCCCTATATTTAAAAA